TACCTTACATTGGTACCAGCCTCCTGGCTGTTCTTCTGTTCTTGCCTTCCTTGGTCTGAGAAGGGTTAAACTGCTAACATTTTGTGATGTGGATTAGTTCTCATCAGGAATAAGACTGAAATAATCAAATTTCTCTGTTGCTCAAAATGCCCTTTTAGTCAAACTCACATAACAGGACAGCCTGTACTGTTGTCCAACCATACATTTTGTTTAGTGAACTCTTATCCACCCATTCTTCATGTGCCTGAAGATAATGCCTGACTCAGAGTTGACATTCAGTAAATATTGAAATTTGACATCAGGGTGTAAGTTTAAAAGTTGCATTCTTCTCGTAATTTAACACCAGAAAAATCTGAAATAGCAAAGGTCTCAATAGCTTGAGCAAAAGAAGGAGTAAAAATTGAGGTATTTGGAATAGAATAGTGAGTTTTCTCATGATCTATTCCATACTGTTGCTCCAGCTCAGCTGAATTAGTGTTAGAGTGTCAGAATGTTGATGGTGAATCCCAATCAGGTTTCTTAGCAGCTTTGTGAACTTGGACAGATCACTTTCTGGGTCTTCTACTATAAAACAGGTTGATTTGGAAGGTGACTGAGATTCTTCAGCTGCAACACAGTTCATCCAAAAGTCTTTGTTGCCATTGAAATTACATGCTGTATGATAGGCTTCCCACCAAAATTCTTTTTTCAGGGTTTTGTTTTAACCATTTTCCTCCAGTAGAATCCAATGTGAGGATTTATTTGATTTCTGACATCTTGTAAAACTGTGGTTTAGGGGCTGGAGGTTTAGCTCAGTGGCATAAGCGCCTGCCTTGCAAGCAGGCAGTCATGAGTTCAATCCTTGGTACCGATAAAAAGGAAAAAGACAAACAAACAAACAAAACCTGTGGTTTAATTAATTGGCCACACAGATTGGGATATGACAGTTACCTCAACAGATTCTTGCCTGCACCTCACCCCCTATTCCCATGTGTGTGTCCCATGGCCATGTTCATTTAATCCTTAGTCTTCATAATAAATCTACCTAAGACCAAAAATAGAAACAAAACAAAGTTTCTATTCATATATCACAAAATTCCTTTCAATGAAGAGTATTTCTATGGGATGAAGAGTTTTGAAAGTATGCTTCACTGCTCCCAGTGAGTTTGATGGTTTCCTCTAATCATACTGTTCTCCAGTAGTACTAGTGAAGTACTATGTGCTACTCGTATTTACTATTGAGTAAACTCACATTTACTCGATAGTAAATGTGAGCAGCACAAGGTTGTAATCATCTGACCCTACCCAGGTGTTAGACCCAAGCTAGTGCCTTTCTGATCTAAGACATGTATCAGTATGACTCACATTGTGACAAACTTGTGTGCTTTCAGGAAATTTCCAACCAAGCAGCTCACCATTGTAATATGCACATTCATTTTTCATTTATTTTCTTAAAACAAAGTCTCTGTGTTTGACTGGCCTCAAACTCTTGGGCTTAAGTGATTCAGCTCAGTTTCCCAAGTAGCTAGGACTACAGCCATGTGCCAGCACTTGGTACACAAATTATTTTTGTTCTTTTTTTCTTTCTCTTTTTTTCCTTTTCCTTTTCTATTTCCTTTTTCTTTTCTGAGATAAGATCTCACTATGTAGTTCACAGTAGCCTTGAATTCCCTGTGTAGCCCAGGCTTGCCCCAACCCATGATGATCCTCCTGCTTCAGTTTCTTGAGTGCTGGCATTACAGGCATATGTAGTCACACCAGGCTTGCACAAATTATTTTTAATCCTTTACACTGATGTACTTTTGGGTCATTTGCAGCTTTTATGTACTATATATACAGTAAAGTCATTGTGAATACTTGTGTATACAGCTTTAGAAATATATTTCTGTTGTGTTACCTAAAAGTAAAGTTTACTTGGTCATATGATCAGTGTATAGTTAACTTTACAGGAAATTGCCAACCTTTTGAAAGTTGTACTTTTTTTTTTTTTGAGACATGGTCTTGCTACGTAGTTCAGGCTGTCCTTGGACTCACTATGTAGTCCAGGGTTTGGCCTCAGATTTGTGGTAATGCTCTTGCTTCAGCCTCCCAAGTGCTGAGATTACAGGTGTTCACTATTGTTGGCCCAAGTTGTACCATTTTACATTGCCCTTAGCAGTATATTGATGTTTTTATCATCTCACTAGTGTGATTTACTTACTAGTTTTAGTAGCATTTTTGGTAGAGATTTTCATAATAGATATTCTGTTTTGCATTATAAGCTTTTGTTTTTTTGGAGGGGTGCTTTTTTTTGTGGTATTGGAGGTTGAACTCAGGGTCTCACACATGCTAGGCAAGTGTTCTACCACTAAGCTACAGTCTCGGGCCCATTAGAAGTTGTAAATGTTGTTGTTGATTTTTGTTTTGTTTTGTTTTTTGGTACTGGGAATCGAACTCAGGATCTCACACTTGGCTGTGCCACTGAACTACATACCCAGTTATAAATAGTTCTTTTTTTTTTTCCAAAATTGGTCCAGATGGGCTGGGGATTTAGCTCAGTGATGTAAGTGCTTGCCTGGCAAGTACAAGGTCATGAGTTGCATCCCCAGTACTCCAAAAAAAAAAAAAAAAAAAAAAAAAAAAAATGCTGGCTGTAGTAGCACATGCCTGTAATCCTAGCATTTGGGAGGCTGAGGCAAGTGGATTGTTGTGAGTTTGAGACCAGCCTGGACTACAAAGTGAGTTCAAGGCCAGTCTGAACTGCATAGTGAGACCCTGTCTCAGAAACACAAAAGAAAGCAAGAAAGAAAGAAAAATTGACCTATTTATTTTGAATTTTTATTTACAGCACACTTACTGTTTTAGACGAATCTCCTTTTAGGCTATGATTCCAACATAAACAGAGGAAAACAAGAGGGAGAACCTTTATGGGGACAAGAGGATTTTCTTGAGCCACTACAAGGCAGGGCAGCCACTATTCTCTGATGGTGGTTAAATCAATTTCTATAAAGTATTGCCCCCCCCAAAAAAAAGCATTTGCTTTTCTTGGACTTCAGAAGGAAAGGCCCACACAGCTGTGCTCATGCCAAGGAAAGGATGGCCAGAGGTCCTGGTACCCTGGAAGATGGGTTTTGTGACATGAATAGTAGTTTGCCGATAGCTGCGTTCCAATAGTCTTTGCGGAGAAAATCGTAATTCCTTAAGCTGCCTTCTGAGTATTTCCAGTTCTTTGGCCATGGGCAGTTTACAGGCATCAGCCCAGGAGTTAAACTGGACTCTCTGAAGTGGTAACAGGAAATAACAAAGCAGATGAACAGGACTCTCACTGGGGCAGAGGTTTGTTGTCCTCATCAGATCCCTATGGGTTTTAACGCCCTTGGGTTTTGTTTTCTTTCCTCCTCCTGCCTGCTGGGGTGTTTGGAAGTCACTAAGAACAGGTGCTGTACATCAGGCCTGCCTTTGGGATCCTAGCTTCTTCATCCCAGGTGTTGCAGCTCCCTTGCCAGGCTGTCATGGCCCTGGCGCCTCCGGCCAGCTGGGAGCTTTTACGTGCCTCAGGCCCCGCACACCACAGCACTAGGTGTCACTGGCAGCACCTTTTGCCTTGCTGCGGCTTGCCGACCATCAGGGGCTCAAGGCACTGTGTCCCTGCCCAGATGCGGCAGGCAGAGGGCCCTGTAAATGGCTCTTTTTATGACTCCTGTTACTCTCATTATACTCATATTTTCCTTTTAATCTTAGAGTGTATCATGCTTATGCTTGTTCATATAGCTGTCTAAAAACATCCTTTTCTTTTGATGTTGCTGTCTTCTGGCATTTCTGACTATTTCTATTGACCCAAATCAGTCACATTCTTTTTCTTTGATGTGTAGTAATTAATTTAATTGTATGCTATACGTTGTTTTATATTTTGAGTGCTAGGCTTTGTTGTTTCCCTTAAAGACTGTTGAGCTTTATTCTGACGTGCAGTTAATGTATTGATCACTTTGATCCTTTCAGTCTTGTTTAAAGCTTTGTGAGGACGAATTTATTCTTTACTTTGTACTGGTTTAGCCTTACTGTTAAGGTGTTACCATCTGGATTTCTACCTAACAAAGTGAAGATATTTCACTTTGTTTGGTTGAAATGCAAGTGTCTTCTGGTCCTGTGTAAACTCTAGGAATTGTTCATTTTACAGCACTGAGTATTCTTTCCTTGCTTCATGGAATTTAACCCAGTATACACATGGCTTTGTTTCCATCAGGCGAGTCAAGAGCCCCAAATTAGATTTATGGAGTTCTTTCTCTGAATAAGTTCCTTCTTTCTGATTGTCTGCCTTAACATTTAGCTCTTTATTGGTGGTAAAGTCACTTGAGTTGTATTATAACCAGATAGGAATCATTTCAGCAGGGACTCATGGGTGGCTTTTTATTATGTATTTAGAATGATTGATCGTAGAGGCAATCGTTTAGGTCAGGCATGGTGGTTCAGGCAGAAAGACTGATGTGAGTTCAAGGTCAGCCTGGCTACACAGCAAGTTTAAGACCAACCTGGACTACGTAGTGATATCCTGTCTCAAAAACAAAAACAAAACTTAAAAAATAAAAATCAGCAATCATTTAATACCCACTAAGGAATCTTGTGTTCCTATGTTCTGCAGTTATAAAAGACTTGGCTGCTCTCGTGGCCCTGCCTTTTTATTTCAGGTAGGCCATATTGAATTAAAAATTGTGACCTCTTGCCTTCCAAACAAAAAAGTTGTACACAAGCAAATTTTGGCTTACAATTTTAGAAGATTCAGATCTTTCAGGCTCATGTGTGAATACTAGGTTAAGAATTACTGGTTTGGGGGCTGGGGATTTAGCTCAGCGGCATAAGCACCTGCCTTGCAAGCAGGCAGTCGTGAGTTCGATCCCCGGTAACGGTAAAAGGAAAAAAAAAAAAAAGAATTACTGGTTTACAAGATACTTAAACAGGATATTTTTCATGTCAAGTTTTTGTGTCACAAATCATGTGGCTAGAAAGGATATAACTTGAAAGTACACTCTTATAAATTGCTCCCTGTGCTCACTTCAGCAGCACACATACTAAAATTAGAGCAGTACAGAGATTAGCATGGCCTCTGCAAGAATGACATGCAAATTCATGAAACTTTCCATGTTTTTCTTAAAAAACAAAAAATGCTCCTGTGCCCCTTGTTCGTTAACCTTGTGTTACTATGACAAACACCTGAAATGATCAACTTAGAAAAGATTTATTTCATTTTAAAAAGTGAAAAAAAGTGCACATTGTTAGAGCTTGGAGCTGAGGCTGCTGACTGGCCTGTGGACTCCCAAGTGTAGGTAGTGTGCTACACGAGGGGTAAGGTTTTCGCTAACACTCCATTCCAGCCCAGTGGGTGGAGCTTCATAGTAGTGCTTGCTACAGATTGAATGTTAATATGGAGCAGCTTTGAGAAGAGATAAGAACTTTTGAATAATGGCCTGTGTTTTCTGGCATTACATGGCCATTCTGTTTGCAGGCAACAAAATGTAATTCCAGAATGGTAGGTTGTTGTGGTTTGAATTAGTCTGCTTGTTAACTGGTCTTAAAACTGGTGCAAATCAGAATTTGTCAGATAGGTTTTTGTTACTTTCATGACAGTGTACAGGGACACTTGTACTCACTGCTGTCTGAGGTCACACTTAAGTGCATAGGGTACCATCCTGGCACCAGAATTTTTTGCTTTTCCAATCCCCGTGATTCCAGTGTGCAATCAAGGTTGAGCTCTCTTGATTAGTAATGATTTTCTTTGTTAAAGTCACTTTAAACATAGGGCTTCATTTGGTACCAGGGGTGCCATTCATTTGTGTGGGGTGGGTGAGGTGGACAGGGTTGAGCTTACTGTTTCAAGCTGTCTGGTCATTTGTTAATGACAAGGCCCTCTCCACAGAAGGGAAAAAAAGTGAAAAAAGTCCCTGATTTTTAAAAATATGGCTTGTTTAGCTCCCTGGCTCTAGCCATTGGTACCCACTTGTATCTGCCCATCTGCATCCCACTGAGGCCCTGATAGCCATTAGATGGGTCCATTGCGGGGTCCTTGCTGCTGCGTTTGCTCTCCCAGCTGTCAGCATGCTGGTGCTCATTGCCTGCCTATTGAACTGACTCCATTTGCTCCTCTGAAAGGAGGAGATGGAGCTGGTGCTAATAGGGCTGTAGTGCTCTGGCAAGACCATCTTTGTCCATGTCATTGTTAGGTCAGTTCAATAAGGTATTATTCCCACAGTGGGCTTCAACATGAGGAAAGCAAAGGTAATATCACAATAAAGATCTGGGACACAGGGGGACAGCCTGATTCCTGTGGGAAGGGAAGGTGTTACAGAGGAGTTAATGCTATTGTTCATATGCTAGATGCCCCCGATCGTGAAAAAATAGATTCCTCTTGAAATGAACTACATAGTCTTTTGGATAAACTGTATTTATAAGGGATTCCAGTACTGGTACTTGGAAACAAGAGGGGTTTTCCAAATGCTTTAGATGAGAAATAGCTAATTGAAAAAAAATGAATCTGTTTCCTCTTCAGGATAGGGGAAGTTCCTGCTGTTTAGTTTCTTGTAAAGAAAAGGATAATGTAGGTATCATAGTACTAGTGTTCAAAGTCTAGAAGAAGCTGAAATATCTGAAGTCTCTCAGTTTGTGACTCTAATCATAGAATTACTACCTGTTCTGTAAAGTGCTTCCCAGAATATGGTCTGCTTTTTTTTATTCATTTATTTATTTATTTTGATTTTATTTATTTTTTGGTCTTTTTCCTTTTTATCGGTACTGGGTATCATACTCACGACTGCCTGCTTGCAAGGCAGGCGCTTATGCCGCTGAGCTAAATCCCTGGCCCCATGGTCTGCTTTAAACTCAAGAAATTGTCCTTTTCAGAGTTTCTCATGTGCACTGCTAAATATGTGTAAACCTGTTCTTCATAAAGAATCAACTAGCATTGTCATGATAGTCAGTACACAGAAAGGCTTCTTACACATACTTGTATTAGTGTGTAGTTTAAAAAAAATGCATACATTTGAATATCTTAAATCCAGAAAGCTGTGTGTTTTCATTGTACTCTTTCTTAGCCAGAATTTTATATTGATTTTTAGTAAATATAGTATTTTATTTTACAGTTCAGTAGCTTAATACTGATAATGACTTGATATAGCATGAAATTTCTAGTGCCACATGGAGTATTTAGAAAATTTTAGTTGGGCATAGTGGCACATGCCTGTAATCCCATCATTTAAAAGGCTGAGGCAAGAGGATCACCACAAGTTCGAGGCCAGCATGAATTACAAAGGGAGGCCCTGTCTTAAAAAAAAAAAAAAAAAAAAAAAAAGAAAGAAAGAAAAGAAATCTTTTTAAGCATATTCATATGGGATTTAACATAATGTTTATCTCATAAACCCATGAGAAATATGTAATTATACTGTGGAAATTGAAAACTGCTCTGCAAATAGCAGAGGCACAAGAATTTTTACACTGGAGAGATCCTACCTGATGAAATTTTAAAATATTCTGCTTTCTGATAATGCTGTATCACAGATAGCAGTTGGGTATGTGGAAGGAGTTAATGTATGCTGTTACATTTATGATGTACCCAGATCATTAGTTTTTTGTTTGTTTTTTCTTTCAGTATGGTCTTTTTTGTTGTTATTTTTTTTAATTTTAAATTTTATTTAAAGAATAAACAAAACAGAAAATGGGTAGAAGTAATACATACGTTCAGAGAAAAACAGTAAGAAATCACTAGTTAATGTTTACATACTGTCCTTTTACAAATAGTTGTTCAAGATACAAAAACATATAAAGTGGGAATTAAAACAGTGAGACTGCAAACAGTTCTATTCAACTATCCAACAAAAACTTAGTAATATGGTTTTCAATCCTATACACTTAAACATACATGCAGTTATCCATGTCTTCATCTATGTTGAGATTAAACAAACTAAAGCAGGCTAAAGTCATTCTGAACAAAGAATAATAGTATTGCTGGATTTCACGTCATGACACTCTGCGATCAGCACTGGGTACTTTAGTGTCTTTTTTTTTTTTAATTTTATTTAAAGAAAGACTAAACAAAACAGAAAACGGGTAGAAATAATACATACTTTCAAAGAAAAAATAAACAGTAAGAAATCACTAGTTGATGATTACAGATTGTCCTCTTACAAATAGTTATTCAAGATACTGAAATGGAGCGTAGAAAGTGGGGATTCAAACAGTGAGACTGCAACCAGTTCTGTTCAACTATCCAACAAAAACTTAGAAATATTGTTATCGATCCTATACACTTAAACATACATGCAGTTATCCATCTCTTCAATTATGTTGACATTGAATAAACCCAAGCCAGCTAATATCACTCTGAACAAAGAATAATACTATTGCTGGGTTTCACATTATGACACTCCAGGATCAGCACTGTGTATTTTAGTGTCTCTTTTTCTTCAAAGTATCGTATGTCATATGATCAGTTCTCATAAACTGTTTATAGATTCTACACATGCATGAATCTTAACATGTATTTCTATCCTTTCTATATTAGAGGGAGAAACAAAACAAAGCAAGATGAAACAAAACATATTCATATGAATACATGAAATGAAAAAGACATAAGACTGTTGTACAAAGAGTTCTACTGTTGTTTATCGGTACCAGGGATCGAACTCACAACCGCCTGCTTGCAAGGCAGGTGCTTATGCCGCTGAGCTAAATCCCCGCCCCTTGTTGTTTTATCTTTTTAAAACAGGGTCTCACTATGCAGTTTAGGCTGGCCTTGAGCTCACTTTGTAACCCAGGTTGCCAGCACCCCTGGAGCTTGCCAGCACCCCCTGCCTCAGCCTCCCAATTGCTGGGATTACAGCGGGTGCACGCCACACCCAGCTCAGAATGATCTTTTAAGGGACTGGGAATTAAAAGATTTTTTTCAAAAGCTTTCATGAATTTTGAGTATTACCAGCCAATATTTAAAAAACAAAACAAAACAAAACAAAAACCAGAAACAGAAACAAAACCTCTAAAGGATGTCAGATGTTGTTCAAATACCTGTTTGTTTTTTCTGTCTCCCGTCATTAAATTAGTGCTGCTGTGTGATACTGTAACCCTTGACTTAATCTAATCATTAAAGGTTAACTTTCAGCTGAAAGATATTTGTAAATAAATGAATGTTTTTATTATTTTTCTCAATGGATTTTAAGATTTGGCATTCTTTTGTCTGGTGCCAATAGGCATCTTGATTATTGTGACAACTCTAGACCTGCTTGCTTTTAACATAATCATGCACATGGTCTACAGATCGGTTAATAATCACCCAGAGAACTGAGGAACAGATACTGTTTATTGTTTGCTGCTGTGATGCAGAAAAGTATAAAAATTTAAAATGAACATATTTTGTAGTTTAGTGATCTCCTTGTATACATAAAGGGACATAACTACTGGTTCACTTATAAATTTTCATTCATACAGACTGCTGTAGTAGGTTGCTTATATGTTGCCTCACATTGTATGGTTTTGTTTCTTTTGTTAAGCAGAACTTAGGTAGACAGTGCATTTTCAAATGTTTTGAGCACTGAGAGTGTAGTCAACAAAATAATTTTTTTAGATTTTTATTTATTTAATTTTGAGACAGGGGTCTCACTATGTAGTTCAGACTGGTCTTGAATTCATACACCAAGCTGGTCTTGAATTTGCAGTGATTTTCCTGTCTAAACCTCCTGAGTGCTAGGATTACAGGTTTGAGCCACCATGCCCAGCATCAGTAAGTTCTTTTAATGAATAGTAGTTGTAACTTATAGACTGCAGTGGCCTTAAAATGATGCACTGTGTTACACAGACACTACTTGTTTTTCTCCATTCACTTTTTTTTTTTTTTTTTAGACTAGTCAAGTGCAGTAGTGAGAAGGGGGGAAAGAGTAGAACAAGGAGTTCAATCTGTACTGACTGTGAACAATCAATTGAGATAACTCACTACCTTCGGACCAGCCTCTCCATTCACTTTTAATGAGAATCTGGGTTTTTAAAGTTTTTTCTTATTCTTTGAGGCATGTTGTATGCTTCTCAGATAGGGTAGGTTGTTCTATAAATGAAGGGATATTTAAACTTGCTACCATGGTTCAGCACTATTAATGGTCACTTGGTTTTT